ACTGCCGACCACGCTATCGGCCCTCTCCTGACGTCCCCACCGGCCTTATGTGGTCTAGGTCGGTATGGATGGTGTACAGCTGAAGTAGTCGTGGCCGAGCGGCGTCTGCTGTGACCATGTGGCAACCGAGCCTCCGCTCTTATGCGTCTCCAGCGCGAGGCAGCCTCTGAAACCCGGAAGCGCGTCATCGCTCTGACCACGCGGCACGTATCCCAGGTGGCGACGGCGCCCTACAGTGACGTCACCCGCCGGATTCCCAGCCAGGACGTAACCCATGCTCCCACCACAGACACCAGCAAGGGGCGAAGAGACGCCGCAGCCCGCCGCGCGAGGCCCACACCTCCACGCTGCCGCAGACTGACCCTGCTCTCCAACCTTCAAAAAAACTGACTTGCGATGGAAGGAGGAGTCTATTTATTTAATGTGGTTGATGTGTTTCCTGTTGCAGGCAGGCGGAGCCTATATCTCGATGGCTGTCCTGGAAGATGACTGGGGAAAAACAATCAATGGAATATTGTACTGATTGAAAACTTTATAACTTATTCTAACTTATTCTGTTACATTACAGCAGACCTTTACTCCAAAAACAGACTCTTCCCCCACTTCAACCTTTCCCCTCTGTAACATGCATCATGGGAGCCGGCTGCCTGAACCCAGAAGGGACAGCTGGCTCCTGAAGACAGAGAAGATGGGGATGCGAGGCCTAGCATGAGGCAGTAGAGAATCGGATTCGGATTGCAGTAGGACATTGCTGGATTTGCTGAGCAAGCGAGTCTGCTGTTGAAGATAACTGTACAAAAGAGGTAAATAACCAGTCCCTGTTTAAGGTCTTCAGCAGCTGCATTGGATATCAGGTGGAGTGATGAGGCTGGGCTTGGTGCCAACTCTGTTCGCTCATGCCTGCTTAAAGGTGCCCATACACTGCACGATTCTCGTACGAGAATCATGCAGTGTGAATGAAGACGTGCGACCGTTTCTACTGTACGGTCGCACGTCTTTGGTCTAAGGAGCATGCTAGAAAACCAGCCGAAAATCTTACGATTTTTGGCTGGTTTGAATGATGCTCGGGAGACAAATGCCGAACGGGCCGGTGGGCGCATGCTGCCCGTTCAGCATGGCGGTCATCAGAAGCCCGCCCCTCAGGGGGGAGTGCTTGCCAATATCACAAATACGATCTGCCTGTCCAAGATGGGCAGATCGTATGCTTTTTTAATTACTTTACAACCATTGCAACACTAAGGTCTTGTGATGGTTGTAAAGTGTATGGCCACCTTTAGACTGACTGCCACCCCCTCCTCCCGACCCAATTAGTGTTGAAAGTTGCGGCTGGGACATTCCCCACCCCTTTTGGACATAGCTGCAGGGTGGGGAATGTGCTTCCATGCAAATGATTGGGTCAGGAGGAGGGGGTGTAGCTGGCAGAGATTTGAGCGGGCTTGGGAGAACTCAGGCAAACTGGGTTCACACCAAGCCTAGCCTCATCTCTAATGAGTAGGTAAAGCTTGTGATTCTGTGGCTCCAAACAGTTTAGATTAATGCCCTTAACCTAAGGCACACTTGACCGATAAGTCCTTTAAAAGGTGGCAAACAGATGGCACCGTCCAAAACAGGAAAAAGATGACTCACCAGCACTCCAAAATCATTAATCAATACGTCTTTATTTACCCATGCTCATATCATCACATAATCGCGTCGGTTCAGGGTCCCCTTCATCAATCAAAAGTTTTGCCTGATGAAAGGGACCCCATGTGGCCCCGAAACACCGTGATCATTTTATATTATAAGCATGTGTCAATAAAAACGGAGTGATTAATGAGTTTGGCGTGCCAGTGACTCATCTTTTTCCCCATCAGTTTAGGTCACGGATGTAGAAAAACTCAATGTTTTTCTTTACGGATCTAAATGCAGGTGCATTGTTTTCAATTGGGACATGCACACAGCTGTGTATAGACACGCTGTACCACAAAATAAAAGGAAACATGTGTACATTTTACAAGCATACACATTTAAATGATGTCCAAACAGGATTACATTAAAACAGAGCAAGTGAAATGGAAGGAGAATTTTACGCATACACGTGTACATGTCTTATGGTCACCACACACGTTACAATCTGACCATACAACCTTTGTGCAATCAACTTTAGATCTATCTAAACTATGTAACATGAGGACTTACCTAGTGTATACAATCAATCTGCATCCAATCAAGACAAGCCCTTGCACTACATAGTTGTTGGTAGATCTAAAGGAAATTGTACAATCAGATTGTTGGCGTGTGTTGAGCTTCACTCTAAACAAAGGCATTTTACTCGTTATATTGGAACGTTCTGGACGAAAAAAACCCTGAATATGCTCAGTAAAATGCACACGGCCATGTGAATGTAGCTAGAAGTCGGGGATTCAGTTACAAACCCCTCAGAATTAGCAGCAGGCTAACATGCCAGCCAGCATTTTCAGCTACAGAAGTGAGCAATGGCAGCCTTCTTGTTCCCCTAAGTGCAGGTCTCCTTCATGCTAACATTTCAGTAGAAGACGTTCCCTTCCGCCTGCTCCTCTCTCTTTATTAAATAAATAAACCTAATCAAACATATTCCTCCTCCTTGGGACTCCTAGTTTATCACAGAACCCCTCCCTGGAAATCTCTGCCCGGAAATGACATGTCCGCACCTGAACTCTGCCATCAGCCAGGATTCCCAAACAAAGAGCACGACCGCCCTACACCATACCCCTAACCGTCACGGCCCTCCTTCCAGCCACTCAGAGGCAGACTTTCAGCCCGGGTAGAGGTGGCGTGTGCTTGAGCCGTAATAGGCTATTGGCAGCTCATGCGGCGCTTGCTGATTGGCGGGAGGGCGTGGCGGCAGGGGACTGCGCTCCAGGGTTACCAGGTCCCTGCACTGCTTCCGGAATACCGTGTTCGGCTGTTGATCTCCGCTCTGTACTGGCTGCACCGGTTCTGACGGTGCACTTACAGGTACGTTATGGTAGCAACAGGCCCGGAGCGGAAGTGTACTGTGCATGGTCTGTGTCCTGTCCCCAGTGACCTCCTCTGATGGGGGCGAGCATCGCTTAGGATATGCCGATCCTTTGTGACACTGGATTACTGCAGCCTCATTCATTGGGGTGTTCCCCCTCAGTCTTGCCCTTGCTATGTCACAGCAGCTCTCCCTGGCAGAGACACAGGTGTGAAACATCTAGAGGACTAGGGCCCATAAGCCCCCCCAAAATTGGAGACGATTTATAGCACTGCCCACATAATTTACAGAAGAACTCCGGTCAGACATTTCATTAACCCGTGCAGCGGGGCTACCCCTGCACTGCAAGGGTTAACTGCTTGTTTTTGCTTAGGATCCTAACAAGAAAAAAAAAAAATACACTTACCTAAACCTCCAAGATGGCCGGATCTTAGACCGGTCCCTAGGGCGCCTCTCTCCCCCTCCTCTGCAGAGGTCCAAGAATCCTCGAGTCATCATGTCCAATACAGCGTATGGGACGTGAAGATGCCAATGAACATTCCATTGCTGCAGTGGAGGAGGAGAGGGGCAGGAGAGAGCACTGCCAGTTTGGGGATCAGGTGAGTATAACTTTTTTTTACCCTAGGCAAAAATAAGCAGTTAACCCTTGCAGTACAGGGATAGCCCCACTGCCAGGGTTAATACAATTTCAGCCCAGAGTTCTTCTTTAAAGCTCAGCGCCTGGATGAAGCCTGTTTCCCCAAACCTTCCCTTACAGTGGGCGTACCCCCCCGTACTACAAGGGTTAACTGCTCATTTATGTGTAAGGTATGGTAAAGAGGATTTTTACTTACCTGGTCCCCACTCCTCCACTAGTCGGCACTTTGCTCTCTTACCTCTACTCTGGCTTGTTGACTTTTCCCAGTCTCCTTTCAGATAGTTTAGGGCTGTTGGCCTCACATTAGACATGATCATGTCAGAGGGCCTCCAAATGCTGGAGGTGAGGGGAAGGAGGCTGCAGGTGCTGGTCTTGGAGCCTGTGAAGAGGGGAATTACATAAGTGCTTTATACAGCCCCCCCCAGGCATAAATGAGCAGTTAACCTTTTGTTTCCCAAAGCTCAGCATATAGCAGGCTATTGCCCGCTATATGCTGACAGTGCAGAGCCGTGCTGCGGCCAGGGAAAGATCCCGACACACCCCGCTGCCTGATTGACAGCTTGCTCTGCCTATGTAGAACCAGAGCCAGCTGGGCCCGCCCCCTCACCCATCTGTCCATCCAGTCAGCACTGGAGGAATGAAGAGGGGAGGGGGGGGGGGAATCTCTGCAGGGAGATGTAACTGACCTCTCAAAATGCTACCAATATAAGCATTAAAAGAGAACTATGGGGTAACTTTTTAATCCCACAGTTCTCTTTAGGCTCACAGGAGGACATATACTAACCTCCTCCGGTGAACCAAAGCTCAGTATATAGTGGGCTATTGCTTGCAAAATACCGAAAGCAGCCGGGACGGATCCCAACAATACTGTCGAGATCCACTCAGCTGGCTGTGTGACAGTGTACTCTGCCTATCTAGAGACTGAGTCAGCTGTGCCCGCCCCCTCCCCTGTTAGTTCCTCCAGCCAGTGCTGGAGGATCGGAGAGGGGAAGGGGGGAATCCCTGCAGGGAGCCGTGACTGACAGTCACTGCTCTCTTCAGGGAGATGATCAGGAAGTGAGCGAGCGACCGTATGTTCCCGATCTGTAGAGCCGATATGTGACAGTTTCAATGTCACACGTCGGTTTGAACTATGAGGATGAGTGTAAATCACTTGCCTCGTAGTTCTCCTTTAAAGAGGAACTGAACTCTGAAAGTTGTGCCCAAAAAGGAAGAAGGTATAGGACAATCACCAGCATTGTATGTGGTCTCCCTGCAGCAGATCTTTACCCATTACTGACTTAGCATGCCTTGTTCTGCACTGTGTCTCTGTCAAGGCGGCCATCTTGGTAGGGGCAGAACCTTTCTTCTTTATACCAGAGCCTCTACCAAGGAGAACAGTGAGCAGCACAGTAATGACATTAAGTAATATCAGTCAAAGCGATAAGCCCACTATACGCTAGGTGTTGTTTTTCATTCAGCCCACAGTTGATTCCCCATCCACACTTTTTGATTTTACTTCCATATAAATGCCGGGTTCAGGTCACATGAACCATCCCCCCCCATCTTTGTGATGGCCAACAGAAGTTTATCTTAATCATTCCTACATGCCTAATTCCATCCTTTCCAGTTGCTTACAATGGAACTTGTCAGCCATTTCTAATTTAAAAGTAAAGTTTTGTCAAACTAAAGACACACACAATGTATCTTATAAACATTGTTATTCATAAAACCCTTTCAGCTGCCTGTCTCAAAGTTTTACTTTGTTAAACTGAGGGTTTTGTTGCCCCAGCAGAAAGAATGATGCACTTTTCATGGCTATTGTATTCATCTCACCACTTTTCTTTCAGTCCATTGGTAATGTATTTGAGTCCTCTAAATGCCCATTGTTGGCAGCTGTCATTGTCCCTATGAGGAAGGCAGGATGAGAGTGTATTGCATCTCAGTGACTCCTTGACCTATTCAGATTCAGACTCGTTCAGGGATAAATAGCTCTTTAACCAACCTTATGAACTTTAAACGATTATTGAGTTACTTTGTAATCAAGTCAAGGGAAAGGTGAACCTACATCTCTGCTTGCCTAAAGCTGGCCATTCACCTATAGATTATCTGCAAATTTTCTATGGTCAGATAGAAAAAGTGCAACAGATTCCTCCATCTACGCTAAACTGTGTGGATGGAGGAATCTCCCACTGGGCCAAGCTTCAGTATCTTGTTAGTCGGCCCCACTGGCTGTCAAAATACCTGAATAATCTGATTGGATGCAGGCAATGTTCAGGTATTTTGAGAGCCAGCGGGGCCGACTAGCAAAATACTGAAGCTTGGCCCAGCGGGAGATTTCACCATCTACACAGCTTAGTGTAGATGGAGGAATCTGTTGTACTTTTTCCATCTGACCATAGACAATCTGCAGATAGTCTATAAGTGTATGGCCAGCTTTAGAGAGAGACAGTCTGAAAGCAAACAACTTTTACCCATAACCCTTACTAAAATCAGTGCCATGGTTACAACATATATTAAATGTTGTTTTAATCAAAATGGTTTATAAATAATGAAAAAAGGTTATAAAGCATGTTTGTAACCCTAGAATAGTCTTGCTATGTAACGCATATAGGCAACATATATTAATGTTTGCATATTACTTTTTCCTAGGGTGCATTCTTCATGGTTTGTAAAAGAATCGAGTAATCCACCTCAATGGATGCGGACAGCGATGTGGCATTAGATATTTTAATCACAAATGTTGTATGTGTGTTCCGGACTAGATGTCATTTAAACCTACGAAAGATTGCATTGGAGGGGACAAATGTCATATACAAGCGTGAAGTTGGCGTGAGTAGCTTTCTTCTATCCTTCTCTCTTTCTCTCATAGCCAGATGTCATAGACCCCTTCATAAACACAGATGTGCATGCTCATTCTTTCTCTCATAGCCAGATGTCATAGACCCCTTCATGAACACAGATGTGCATGCTCATTTCCTATAGGCGTACTAATATATGGGCCTGGTATATGAAAAATGTGCTAAAAGAAACTTCTCTTTTGTTCACAAACAACCAGCGTCCAACTTTCATTTCTGTAGTCCAGGATTGGAAATTAAACAGAGAATGTGACTGATATTTGGAGGCAGAAAGGAAAATGTTTGCACATTTCCATATACTGTATATTCATTTGCTTTAACGATACCCTTAAAACCTTTCTTAGGTGAATAGTGGTTTACGTCCCATAGACCTTTATCCTAAGTCCATTGTTGGTGTTTGCAAAGGTCTTTGTTACTCTTATTGAAATGGCTGTAAGCCTGATCCCGTTTATTCTTCTGTTCACCTTTCAGCTTCACACTTGGCAATAATCCAAAACTCTTTTCTTCGTGATGTACCAAATTCCATAGTGCAGATAGCTGATACACTTTAAAACATTTATTCAAAATCTGCTCCCATAAAACAATGCAAACAAAACGGCTATATACAGGGATAATTGCAAACCATCGCAACAGTCACCAGGAACTGTGAGGGCAAATCCATCATTTGATTTTACCACCAGAACAGGAATAGAGGAGAAATCTTCCAATGGGACACTTGTGCCAGTGACAGCTGTCTAAGAGGGGATTTAAGGCCGTCAGTCATCTTACATGGTCAGTGAGGTGACATTGGGGATAAGCTAATTTTATAAAGTGAAAGTCGAGATTTGCATATATCAAGACAGGGCTGGACACATTAGGATGGAATTCAGGAGCCAGTCTGTCCAATCCAGGAGACAGAGCAGGATTTTTTCTTCTTCAATATGTTTATTAAAGAATAAAGAAAGAGATTACAATAAACAATCTTTAAATATCAACCTGAAGCAAGAGTGTGGGGTTAAGCCTGGGTTCACACCTAGGCGACAGCTTTTTTTTGTGCGTTTTTGATGCACCTTTTTGTGCGTTTTTGTGAGGAGATTGTAGCTTGATGTTAATGAGCGAACGCGCATAAAATGTGCGTAAAAACACAGCAGAGGCGCATTTTCAAGCGTTTCCTATTGAGTCTATGGGGCCAAAATGAGCTGTAATATGCCAAAAAAAAGCTTGTGTACTTTTTCCAGGGACAGGTGTTTATTGCTTATTGCGGCAAAACGCTGAGGTGTGAACAGGGCCATAGAAATTAATGGGATTGGGGGGTGCATATTTTTTGAGGGCCCATTTACACAACATCCATTTCGCTTATAT